TGCAAATAGACAGGCGACGACAAGTTATTCCTGCAGTTCATATAGAGCTGTGCAACCAGAGCTAACGCGGTTCGTTTTAAACTCTTACCTTTATATATTGTTTTCCAAAGAAAAATAACTAGCCATACTGGGTTGATGTAAATATCCATACAGGTCAGCCTGAGTCCAGTTCGAGTGAAAGGAGGCGCGCGGGATCCGCGCTGGTTAACTTAATAAGGCAGCGGCAGCGCGCGAGGCAAGGCGCAGAGGCGCCAGCTATGTGATTGGTCCGCTCTCCGGTTAAATGCATAAACTATAAACCTTATAGAAATAAATCAGCTTCGCGAGTTAAACACTCAGAACAGAGACGCTTGCAATCCGCCTTAAAGTTTTATTGCAAAATAAATAAATAAATAAATAAATAAATAAATAAATAAATAAATAAACAACAACAACAACAATAATAATAATAATAATAATAATAATAATAATAATAATAATAATAATAATAAATAAATAAAATTCCCCAATTATTAATTTTTCTAAAAATAAAAACAAGCAATGCTTAGCCTGGCGGGGGCTTTAGCATGGCGGACTAACAGGCTTATAATACGCGGGGGTAACCCTGTTTAATCACTTAAGCTAAACATCATAGCCAGCACTATGCCTACACCAGTCACCTACTAATCTAGGGCTTCAGCTTTGAAACTAAAAAGGGCTCAAGAAACTGTAAGCATTTTAGTTTGAATAGAATTCTAAATGAAAATAAAATTGACAATTAACATAAATGATAATTTTTTTTTCTCTAAATGTTAGATCTCAGAGTCTGAATAAATGTACCTGCCAGTTAAATGAGACTCTGGATCGAATTTTTTAGCACTTCTCAAATTTTACTGAACCAACTGGTCCCATTGTGTCTGTTTTAGCACATAGCCTCTTCCTTTTGGTGACTGAGATGCAGTCAAACTGTGAAAAATTGCACACAGAACATTTAAGGAGGTCTTACTGCTCCTTGCAGCAGGATGTTAGCAGCTGATATTTTTTCCCCCCAGAGATAACGTTTTGGATGGTTGGATCTTTCCTTCAATCGCTATTAGATTGCTTTCTCAGGGCAATTCACAGACTTGGTGAACACTTTAGACTTATAGTTGTGCACCAAGCAGTCAGTGTTAACCAGCTGCTGTCATATGGGGGTGTGTCTGGTCTTCAGATGTAGATTTATATTTAGAAATCATAAAGTAAAAGCCAGAGGTTATGACAGCTCATAATTCACCTACTATATATGTCCTAGAATTTCTAGGAAGGGCCATGCCAGACATGATGGGTGCCTTCACTTATTTGGTACACAAATGATCTCTGACCTGTGGAAACCATCAATTTGCATCTATCTTTAATCTAATCTGTTCATAAGAAATGTCTCTTTATAATTTAGAAGATCCAAAAAACAAAAACAAAAAAAAAAAAATTAGCCAGACAGACTCAAAGCCAAACATGGGATAATTTTGAGAACCAGATTATTTGGGTGTACAGGTTGTTTTTTTTTTTTCTCTAGAGACATACGATAAAAACTCTTATGTCAAATTTAACACATTTCAAACTGTATTGGGGTTCTGAATACTTCTTTGATTGACCGAGTACATTTAAGGTACAGATAAAACAGCATTATTCTCATGTCAGCCGCTACTATAGCAGTTTCTATAAAACTCAAAGCTTTATGCGAAGACTATTTTTTAGTACATATTACCAGTTTATGTTTACTCCTTAGTAAGTTATGGTAAAACTCACAGGGTTTTACCATGACTGGTAAAGCGTTCCGCTGCACAATTACATTATTTTGTAAAGATATGCAGTAATGAACATATGTAGCATCCTGCCTGGATTGACTAAGACTTCTTGTCATTTTGCTCTATTCATGGTAGCAACCAGAAGCTGGTGTGTTTTCTTTGAAGTTACATTTGTCCTTTTCTCTGTACGATGCTTTCTTTGAAGGAGCCAGAGTCACATCCAGTATATGCTTAACTCCATACATGAATGTTGTATCATTAATTTTTATGTTTTCATAATTGTTTTAGCAAAGTTGTTTTAGCAAAATATCCTGAGAAAGGTAAAATGCCCATGTCACTGATACACACAGCAGCCAAAGCTCATCTAGATACATCCAGTAACTAAGACATGTGGCTGAGAAAACACATTAAATAATCGTTTAATAAAAACAGATTTTTTTGCAATTACGGTCCATTACAGGATTTTCTCTTGATAAGCTGCCTGTCTTCTGCAGGTAAAGTACTGACTTGTTAGAACTATGTCACCAAACTCTTCTTCAAATCCACTCAGGTCCACTGTAGCAACATTTTCCTTTGACTCTGTCCTGGTAATTCCTGAAAGAATTTCACAAGGCATGAAACTGAACAAAACAATGCTGCTTTTTTAAAACATGTTTTTTGCACAAAATCTCACCAAATATTTCTGTCTAGGACAAATAATTTAGTATTCTTGAAAAAATACTAAACTAACTTGCAAGTAACTTTTCACATATGGAGCTTGTCTTAAGTAAATAATTCCTTAACATTGATGGAAAAGTAGTAGTTCCACTTGCAGACTATTTTACTTATAACATGGAAAATATGTCTTGTTATGAGTAAAATAATCTGCAAATGCAACCAGCACCTTTTCAGAAAAATTAAGGAATTATTTACTTAAAGGAAACTTCTAATATTTTTTCTGAAACATTACTTGCAAGTTAGTTTGTCTGTTTAAAGTCTGTTAAAAATATTTTCACAAGAATCTAGACAAAGAATCGCTGTTTTTGCAGTGTGGAATCTGGCTTCTCCATCTTCTCTATCATTGTGTTTTGTGTTTGCTGATTTCAGGCTCTCAGTCCAGAGGAAAGCACCAGTTGCTATCATGGACTTTTCTTCCAGGATGGTCAGCGGCGTGTCGACTACATTCTCACTTACCCTGTGAGGAAGTCAGGTGGAGGGCGCTCCAGTCGACAGTCAGACCACAGTCTCACAGAGAACTTTGCTTCCCGCACTGTAGGACAAAGCAAGCAGGTCCAAGGTGCATCCACAGTGGCTGATGTGGAAATGGGATGTCTGGGAGAAACTCTTAACAGCCAGGAGGATCACAAAACATTCAGGAGGGAGGAGTTTGAGAAAAATCTGAAAGAAATGGGACTAGAGCTGGAAAAAGATGAGGAAGTGAGTTTACATTTTTACTTTTGTCATCTGCTTTTAAAAGTGTTTTGTGCTCTGATCTCTGTAGATGCTTCATTTTACACTGGTAAAACAGTCAATACAGCTTATTAAAAAAGTACGGAAAAATCCCCACTGAGGAATAAGCTTCATTTTAATGATGAAACTGCACCTATACATTATTTATACAAGACCTGCACAATAGGCTTACAGCAAACCAAACTGCTCTAAAAGAGGTCAAAGCTCAGATAAAATGAGAAAAACTCATAAGGGCAAAGGTCAGTGGATCATGCAGAAATGCCAGAAACTGTAAACGTTTCACTTTGAAACATCATTTCCACCAGAACCACAACAGTTCTATGCAACAGTGTCTGAAAGCTGCAGATTATCTGCTCATGTCTTTTCTCCAAAAATGTGAATAAAAAAATAAATAAAATTTTTGCAAGAGGTTCCACACGTTTAATTGGTGTGCATAAACACTTGAGGGAACTTGAGGGGAATTAACAACAATGGTTTAAAAGAGGTGATAATATTCTTTTAAATCTATGCTATTACATGCCATCAAAACACTGACCCTTTAAAAACCAAAGCCAATGTTTGTATGATCTCTAAATAAATTTCAAATTTATTTATGAAGTTTCCAAGAATAAAAAAGTAATGAAATGCTTAAATCAAAAATGGCATAATCTAGTCATGAACTTCAAAAAATGAAATAACACATGGCTGAAATCTCATATTGTTGTTTTTTTATCTACAGTATTTTTTTAATCCAGAGGGGTTCTGTAAACATTTATCAGTGACATAAATATGAGAATAGATCCTGCTGCAGGCAGTAGGATGGTGTTGGTGTCGGGGTCAGGAGGTCATTGGCAGAGAACTGTAGGCAGATGGCAGCAGCTAAAGACCCCAGAGGCGTGGTGGTGCAGGAGCTTGATGTCCAGTGGTTAACTGTGGAAGCTGTGCCAATGATCAGCATACTGACATTGGCAGCCAAGGCATCTTGTAGGCTGTTGGCAAATGCAGAGAAATCCAACAAGCTGGCAAAAAAGGAATCAAAGTCTGAAGGGCAGTGGAGCAGCAGAAGAGCCTTGGAGACTGTAGGCCTAGAGACACAGGAGGTCGTCAATCTAAGACTGGAAGCTGATAACAATGGCTGACGAACACAGGAAGCCAGTGGTGCAGGAGCTGAGTCTCTGAAGTCTGGTCTGGGCAGAAGAGGGAGGCCGAAGACCCAACTAGAGGCTGAGGCCCATGGTGGAGCTCAGAATCAGACACTTTAGACGGATGCTGGTTGTTCTCAACCCCCTCAAAGAACCCGAACTCATGAAACGTTCAAAACAGAAACAAATGAAATCCAAGGTACAAAGAGATGTTTGCAGTGATCTTCCTGTTATAGAGGAATGTATTTCTGAGTATCATCTGCATGACAACGACAAGTAATCTTATGCTTTCTGATATGAGTCAAGTGGCAAGAGACAAGAAGAATAGGATCATAATTTCCTATGGAGAAAATTAAGACAAAGTCATTTTAAAATAAGGTTTTTAATAATTCAAAATTTCTGCTGAGTATAGAATATGAAATTCAACCAAATTTTTTTATATGTGGCAGGCCATGATTCCTGGTTTGGGCTTTGTAAAGATTCATGCACCCTGGAACGTTCTCTGTCGAGAGGCTGAATTAATGAAGCTAAAGATGCCCACAAAGAAGGTAAGTTCAGCTGATTCCTGCAGTGATCGATCTACAGTGGTTAATGGGAACGCTGTAGTATGTTTCTTCTGACAGTTTTGGTCGCCAAATCTCAGGTTTCCAAAAACCATGCAACAAGTGTACTGTACTTATCTATAATATGTGCTGATGTGCAAAGCAAAACCCCCAATTTTTTTTGTAATCAGTAGTGTCAAACTGGCACCGCATCTCAAGTAAACAACTTTATCTTTGTAATTAAAAGTTGTAGTAAGTACATAATTTAAAAACAACAAAAGGCAAAAACAGAAGAAATCAATTCAGAGCACTTTGTTTCATAAAGCCAGAATGTTCAGCTGTTCAATAATATTTTTTGAGCATATAATTATATTGTTTTATTTAAAGTAAAAAGATTGAACACTTTTGAGAGTATTGATTCCAAATTTCTTGTCAGGTTATTTTAAAAAGAGTCTTTGTTTCATGTGCCTTGCGATGACACTTGTTGTGAATTGATGTTTTATATAAACAGAAGTGAATGGAATGAAGTTGAATTGAAGATGCCTTTTAGTGTGAATGTGGTGGAGCTTAGAGAGGGGTTCAGTCCACACATATAAGCCCTGAACAACATCCCAGGAGAAAACTAATTTCAGGAACTGATGGGGTGTTGATAGTAACATCTCGTTCTGCCAAACTGTCCTAAGCTTTGCTGTCAAATCCTAAGTGCCTCTTGTCCAAACTCAACCCCTTATCGAAATGAGACGCTTTGTTCAGCTGCCTCTGGCCAGTACCATCCTTGTGGACCATTAGAAAAGTGCTTAGAGGCAAAAGTGGTGTGTGTTTGTCTGCATCATCTGTCATTCACTACATTTGTGTCTATCTGCAGGACAGCATATGGCTCTTTGACTTCTTGACAGCTGATGTTATTACATCCATATCTCTATCTTTTAGAGTTGAAAGAACATTAACTTCCTCTCCTCACTGTGGCCATTGGAGCTGACAGAATAATGCTGCAACACATTTTCAAATCATCCCTAAACAGCAATATGCATCTCCATTGAGGAGCAGAAACACAGCATCTAGCACTATGCGATTCTTAGTCCACCCAGCCAATAAACAGTTCCTCCTGCTTCCCCTAGAAAGAAGCCTGTAACACACACGATTGGATCAATGAGGCTCAAATACAGCTTTTCCCAAGAGAATGTGAAGTTCTACCAGACACTAACTTTCTTTTTCATTTTTACTGATTTTCTAATTTGATGACAGGTATAAAACAATGATCAACTTCTTGTCTGCTGAAAACCTGCAGAATAAACGTCACCCTCCAAATGACTCCAGTAATACTTTCACAGGGTAGAACTTGTGAAAGTATCAGGAACAACCTCCAACCTATATGACCAAAATCCATCTCAAGGTTTTCTCCCATTTATTCCAGTTTAGTCACCATGATAAAAATGTCCAAATCATAAGCACATCAGTTTTCCCATTGTATGCATTGTCAGCCAGGCACACCTGTGATTTCATTGGTGTGCCTTGCTGGCAATATGACTGCATATTATCACATGGTGACTATATGCATGTGATAATATGCTGCCATATTATTGCAAAACAACTGAAACATTGTCACATGCCCAGTGGTAAGATTACTGAATCTCATCCTACACTATGCTCATAAAGAAGTCAAGAAGAAGAACCATAAAGAAGAACCAGGTACAGTAAGGACAATTCTACAATAAAACTGGAGTATGAGTTTCACAAAAATATTATTCTAACATATTTGCTAAAACTTTCACCATGTCGGAACAGCATGGAAGGAGACAGATGATCTGGGAGAAGCAGAACTTTTCTCAGATTACCTGTCTTATAATGTCATGACAGTGCTAATTTTAGCAAATATGTTAAAAAAAAAAATTTCAGGTCACATTCTGCAACTCTAAAGAACAGAACTTTCTGAATTATTTCTCTCAAATGTTGTAAAGCCTTGTCCCAAGTCATCAGAGCTGGACCTGTTTTGTGTAGCATTTTGTTGAACTTGATCAGTCAACTAATACGTTTTCTTTGTATAACACATTTCAGCAACAAGGCAGTTCAAAGTACTTCACACAAAAATGTAAAGTCATAACCAGAAAACCTGAGAGATGTGGACAACAGCAGATTTTAATGCATTGTGGTTCTAAGCTGTTCAGTGATTTATAAACTAACAGCAGTATTTTAAAGTCTATTCTCTCAGTGGAAGGACTTTAGAACTGGCTGATGTGCTCTCTCTTCCTGGTTTTAGTCAGAACACTAGCAGCAGCGTTTGGGATCAGCTGCAGCTGGAGGATTGACTTTTTTAGGCAGATCTGTGAAGACACTGTAAGCCCACCTTGAAATCAATGCAACTAATGATAAACTCATGGGTGAGCTTCTCTAGATCTTGCTGAGACATTAGTCCTTTAATTCTGGAAAGGTTCTTCAGTTGATCATTTAGAATAAGTATCGCTACGATAGGTCATAATCTTACATAAACTTTAATATAGCGTTTTTCTGCAGAAAGTCTGTTATGTGGATTTAGTTTTCTCCCTCCTTAGAAGAAGTTGCCCTTCAAGGATGAGATGATGAGACTTTTTTTCAAAAGCACAAAAAAATCTTGAATTCAGTTATCCATTTGTTTATGCTGCAAACTACATCAATAAAATATTTACTGTGATGAAGTAGGACTTTGTGTTCATTCAATTAAATAATTTGTGGACTATTTGAAAATAATTGATAAACCTGTAATCTAGGTCCTTATAATCCCAAATTAACAAACTCTGCACATCCTGACAGTCCTGGTGTAGGCTACTGATGTGCTTTGCCCCAGAAACTTTTTTCTTACCCAGAAATAATATTTGAGATTGCAGAAACAAAACTAGTAAACATACTGGATGTTTTTTATGTGTTCAATTGGGAACAGCCAAGTATAGGACTAAGTTAGAAAACATAATTTACCAGAACTTTCACCCTTTTTAAGAAAAGAAGATTCCTTAATAATAAAATCAGAATCACAATTTTGCTATTGTCATTGTGCAACAAAACACAAGGAAATTCAAAGTTAAAATGAGACTGAACAAAGTAATTCATGAGGTGTCTGTAGCTGTTTAAGTTTAATTTTGGCAAATATTTACTGACACAGATTTCTGTCATCTAAAAGAATGAAAATTAAGCCAGATGTTATATGATGACAAACAGGGACTGTCTGGGTTTATTAGATTGATATGGTAAGTATTTGTACTTGGGAAACACTGTTTTGCTAACACTGACAGGTGTATGGTTTGTCTGGCTTTCTAGGTCTATGAGGTCAAACAATCAAGCAATGTCATGAAGAAAATCAGCTCCATGGTCAATAAAGTGCTGGAGCCATTGCACCCTAATGTTGAGGAACATCATTCCAAGAACATCAAGCACCTGTCACACTCGTTCTCCAGGGAAAAGCAACACCTGTAAGCCCACCTTGATACCTAGTTCTCTAAGAGAGGGTTATGCTTCAGTGAAAACTCATGGTGATTGTCAGAGGGGAGTTGGAAACTGGACAGACAGGTAGGTGGCAGTTGATGATGAAGGAAGGACAGAGACGACGGTGGAGTGACTAATGGTCAGTGAGCGATCAATTGAACTGAGGTCTAGATGTTGATGTCCAGCAGTTGGTTTGAAAACCAACATGGATTCAGACAGGCAGGCACAGAGAGAGCATGAGGTACAATGAGGTAGGTTGACTAGAAACATAAAATAATAGAGCTCAGAGCTCAGACGTTTTTGTGTCTTGGCTCTGTTAAAAAGACTGAGCATCAGGCAAACCATTGGCAGATTACCAACAGGTCTGGCATCTCCAACAAGGGTCAGCTGTGGAAGGAGATCAGAAACCACAGGGGCACACACACAAGCCAGGATCCTGACAAACAGATGGTTGTGCCAACACTGTAAAAAAAATCTGTAAATTTTATGGTAGAAAAATAGGGAAATACCTACAGGTACAGGCTGCAACATCCAGAGCATTATATTACTGTATTACCAAAGCATAAATGTCACATAGTTTTTACAGGTACGAAATATAGAAAACATAGAAATTTATTGTGAATATCTTAGAAATTGTAAAAATTCATAATAAAAAAGGGGGTTCTGTGGTGGCGCCAGGGTTAAGCACAACCCACATTGAGGCCTTAGTCTTTGAGGCTGTCACAGGTTCAATTCCTGGCCTGGTGACCTTTGCTGCATGTCTTCCCCTTCTCTCATTACCCACTTTCCTGTCAATTAATTATGAAATAAAGGCCACTAGAGCCAAAAAAAAAAAATCATAGTAAAATAAAGGGTACTAATTGGCCAAAATTTTGCTGATATTTATATCTATGATAAAAAAAACATAAACCAGATTGCAAAAGTCATTTTTACAGAGAATAGAACACTGGTATAATGTTTTAGTTTCTTTTAAATAATCAACTTAATTCATAATGTCCTTTGAAACCTCAAAGGCAGACCAGGAGTCACACTGTCAATACATCCAGCCGACGCCACTATCATTTATGAGAATATTTTGTTAAATGATGCATTTGAGATTATATGCCATGTTATGCCAACCATACATTTGTCATACATGGAGATAGCTGCATGTTAGGCCCTGCTGCTTGCAATGTGTTGAAGCCAAAGAGGAAGTAGGCTTAGGGCAACGAAGCATGTACAGCTTTTCATTATGTCATTATGTTAAACAGCAGGGTTTACATTTAATGCAGTTACTGTTATTTGTCATGCAAACACAGTTCTCCAGGTTCTACTGCTTGATCCTGCAGCATCACCATCACGTCTGCTGTTGCTCATTATTTTTAACTCTGCAATACTCCAGTTGAGCAGTGGCTCTGGGCTTCCTGAACTCACCACAGTATTCTCAGTTCAAGTGCACAAGTACTAGCTAAATGTGCTAACTAGCAGGCACTAGCTAATGGTTGAGCTGAATGGAGACAGTAGAAACTTAATTTCAAAGACTGTATTTCTGCACATTCAGGAGGAGAAGGACAACACATTTCTGCATCCCAGGTAAGCACCTTTCACAGTTCTAACTGAAGTTAGCTAACTTTAGGCAACTGATAAAGAAATGTTTCCCTGTAATTTCTGTGAACCACACTATTTCCTAACAGCATTGCAGCTATTAGGAAAGAGACATTTTTGCTATATGGAGTATTTAATGCTAATGTTTCTCAAATGCAACACTTTCATTAACATTTCTGAAGAAATGACTGCAAAGCCTAGGCATCATTAAAAATGAGCAGTTATTAAATGTAAATATATTTAGATGCTTCTAATAATATTTCAAGTCTACTTTAGACTGCCTTTGTTTAGTTATTGTTAATGGCAGAAACAGCTATTTCAAGTTTGGTTCATTCATTAATTTGAATGACTGAATGTGAAATGTTTATACATTCAAATTAAAACTGTGAAGAACACTTTACCTTTTGTTTCAGTGCTTTAGTAATATGTGGAAGTAGATAATCCTTCATAAAATGCAGCAGTACTATGGGATGCAATGCAGACATGGCAGAAATGGCTCCAGGCCCCATAGAAACGTCTTTAGAAATCCTTACATTTACCTTTATTTCAGTGTTCCTGATTTCTGCAGATTTTTCCACATTTTTAGTGTTTGTATTTGAGTTTTATTTATGAAGAGCCACCTACTAGTGAAGACTAATATTTTCTAATTGAGCTCAAAGCCTAGTAGTTTAGATGCATGTAATGGATCAAGGTTTGACAGACATATTTAAGGTGATTCTTTGACTGTCTGTACTGCTGTAGGTGGTTGATTACTGCTGCTGCTAGTCTGATGGGAGGCATGGGGGAGGGGTACACTGTGGGGCGGGAGCTCGGCTGCGGACCGCAGGTCCAAGACAGAACTTTGTGTAAATGGGCAGTGCATTGCATGAGGAAGCATTTAGGCACCACTGCATGGTTACAATGGAGAGTTGAGGATGTTTTAAATATGTTTTGATGAGGGAATGACACATCATGAACGTGGAATTATAACACAATATAAATCTCAAACCAAACCAATTGATGGTGATATACAGTACTCACCAAATAAGGGCTGTTTTTAAATAATCATCCCTTTGTTTTTGAATTTTTTTGGTGCTTTTTCTGTTGTTGTTGGACAGTGGTATTAGACCATACTCTTTCTGCATTGAGTTTGTCTTGTGTCATCTATCCTGAATGAGTGGAGTGGTAAAGAGAAAAATGTTTCTCCCAAAAGGGAGGATGGACGGATGAAGATAGAAAATTCCTTGAAAAAAACAGGCCTTTATCTGATGTTTATTGTTTTTTTGTCTGGTTGCAGAGATAATCATGCCAGTAAACAGGAAACAGTTTGTTTATGAACTTCTAAAGTTTCAATCAGAAATAACAACACTGCCTGTTGCAGTTCCAGTCTCCATGTATGCATGTGTGCAATTCTGAGTTTATATGATGTTCATGCAGTGCATCTTTCTAACCTTTGCTCTGTTTCTACTTTCCAACTGTAGAGAGGATCTTGTAGCAGTGACTGATTGGAAGACCATCTCCATGTAGCACACGCTCCTCATCAGAGTCTGGACTCAGTGACTTGTTACTCTTGACCAACACAGAGCAGCAGTTCCTCTGTCACACAGATTTCTTCCACCATGGATTATCACTTATGGATACATGCTGCTTTTTAAGATCTTAGTAAGGAAGAATTGTTGAGATGTAGACAGGAGACTGAATCAGTTCTTTTTTTAACTGAATGTTCAAATAGAAATTGTTTCTTCAAGTGGATTAATCATAATCTGTATTTTTGTTTACTTTGTACTTATAATTTTCCATATTGAAATGCTGACAAACTACATACCCTTAATGTGTTTTTTATGTGTACTGTAATTTTTATTGGAAAATTCTGACAACTACATCTGTAGGTAATTTACTGTATAGTTGATTTTTATAATAAAATGTCATAGTGTATCACAGAATTCTGCTGTGTTTTTCACTTGTAAAACTAGTTATTTTATGGTATATATGTTGATTTTATTGTAAGTTGTCAGAAACAGTTTACAGTTCTGAACTGTTAAAGTGACGGTTGTCAAAATATTACACTGTAATGCAATACAGCCGTTTTTACTAATACAACCACAGCTGCCCGTATATTACCGTATTTTACTAAATACAATATTTTATCATATTTTGCTACTTACTCATTTTACCATATATGGTAAAATCCTGACAACCACAGCTGCTGGTTTAATACTGTAGAGAGTATTTTTTTAATTACATTCCTGCCAACTGAATGCAACTACTGCAAACTAGTGTGTCCTCATCTTGCTGTGGGTTTGCACCTGTCGGCCACCATATAAAAGGGACAGAGAAAAGTGTTTGTAGTGAGTTTCTACAAGTTATGCTTCTCTGTAGCAGAAAGCTGATTTAGTAACAGTGAAAACGTCAGTGGAAGGTTAACAGCTGGTCACACAGGTCTAACATACAGGTTTGCTTTTTAAAACAAGGATAAGGATAAAAACATTGGTAAGGTTGAAACTGCTTTATCAGCAGGGCAATGTGTGTGATACTATGCAAAGTCACAATGGCAGAGGCGTCTTTATTCAACGAGGGTTATTATGGGATGGATCCTGACATCAGAGCCACACAGGCAATAAACACAGAGCACTGTGATCCCAAGGATAAAATGCTAAAGACAAAAACAGACAGTTATGTATTATGTACAGAGCAGAGTTGGTGTTGGGGGGTTCAGGTAAGTGTTGTCTTTAAGGAATACAGCTTCTGTACATTCAATGAAAGAAGAAAACAGCACGAAATAAGTTAAACATATTAAAGTCTGACTTTAACAGATGAGTTATTGTCAGGTATCAGTTGTGTAGAACAAGTTTGAATATTTTTACTGCAAACTCTGCTGTTTAATTACTTATACCACAGCCTAGAGACAGTTATGCTATTTAAAAGATAAAAGTGGATATTTGTATTTGGAAATGTGTTAATTATTTGCGCCAAAAACAAATTGATATTTTTTTTCACGTTTCTATGTTAACAGGTTTGACCTCTCAGACAAAGATAACTTTTTTGACAGCAAAACCAGGAGTTCCATAGTAAGTCCACAGCAACAATTCTACACTTGACTGTTCTTCAAGAAACATGTTTGTTTTACATATGAACTGTACAGTATGAAGCAGAAAGAGAGCATAAAATCATATTCTTTAATACACTTTGAAAAATTCTGACAAAGGTTCTGGATATAATAAGTCCTTTACTGTTTTTACATTAAAGCCCTGCAATTTTTGTAATTGTATGTAACTGTGTTACTGCTTTTTATGCTCTTCTTTTGTAACTTTGTTTGACTCCATGTTAGGTATTTGAAATATTAAAAAGAACCAAATGCAAGGCTAAATACAGCATGGGTGAGTCCAAACCATTCTATTCAGCTTCACAATGCTCTTTTATCATGACCAACATTTTTTTTCTGTTTTCTTTCATGCAATGATTTAATATAAACTGTTTATAAACTGTAAACTGCCCACAATCGCCCGAAGCGGTCGTGTTATTTTATGCCAGAGTTTTATTTACAAAAAACAAACAAAAGAAACAATAGAGCAATCATTCACAGTATAGTGGGGTTGCAATAATCTCAATACGTCCATAGCTAAAAAGTGCAACACCATAATTTTAATTCATTCTTATAGTAAAATGGTGAAGGTTAAAAATTTCCCAGTGAATAATAACATAATAAATTGATTTAGTATTATTTCTTGAGTACCCTTGTTGACCCCTGAGACAGCAGGTCTGTATCTGCCGCATTTTCGGTTAGCATGATTTTTATTTATTCTTATAGCTTGAATAAAGAAGCTATTCCTGACTATTGGATAACCTAATAGTCAGGTTATCCAAACTGGTAAACCACAATAATGAAAAAATAGTGAAATAATACATTTATTTAATGATCACTGAACATATCAACACTCCCAAAAAAAGAGAAAAGAAACACACACAGGAAGTCTTAACTTTTTTAATGTAGTGAAATGACTATTTCCTCACAGTATTTATTTACTATTAGTTTGTTTACCTATTAGTTTGATTTTTATTTAAATGGTTACTTATATTATTTTGGCTAATACTGTTATATATTAAATAAAGTATCATCCAAACTCAACATTGTAAATAATCAAACCATAATTGATCATTAAAGGCATAATAGGAAACTGAATAAATTTTTAACAAAATGTTCTGTACCATGTTGGTCTCAGGAGGTGATTGATGTTTGGGTCTGCAGTGTTCCTCTCCTGATCCGTTCTGTCTGAATATCACCAACACATTAAAAACGGCCTGTATTCATCCTCACAGACATACTCAGACAGAACACAACATTTAATAGCAACCCTGGTGGCAACCCTATCCTATTTTAAATTAATTTGAAATGTGACAAATCACATTTTTCTGGTTTAGTTTACTAGTAACTAGTAAACTAAACCAGTTTACTAGTTTACTATCTAATCATCATCAGACAGTATGATCACTGTCTGATCATAAAATCAAGAACTTAAAGAGAACCTGTCTGACATCTAAAGCATCTCAAAATGTTAAATATTATTAACTCATTTGAATAAACTCAAGAACAGATGACAAACAATGTCATTGCATTATCTATCAATCTAGAAAGTGTAACAAACCCATTTGTAAGGCTTTAGGAGTCCCAACAAATAGAGAGTGAGTCATTATTCACATATGGAGAAAACATGGAACAGTATATGAACTTTACAACAGAACATCAATAACTCATCCAGGAGGTCACAAAATGACCCAGAACATTTTATTTTGCCTCTATCTTACCAGACAAAATACTATATTTAAGAAGCAGTTGTCTTTTATGAATTTGACCTAGCCAAGAGGCAGCGCAACAGGCTTCACTTCCCCTAGTTAAAATCAGAGTTGATGATTCAATAATAAGGAGACTGGGCAAAAATACCTTTCATGGCAAGAAAAAAAATTCAGAGTGACTATGGGAAAATGAAGGTAATAAATGTCTGGTTCTCTGTTCATGTGGTCTTGAGTATCCACCTTGACATGGCTTTCTTCTTTGTTTTTATCTGACAGGGATCACCAGTCTCCTTGGTAGTGGGGTTTATTCAGCAGCCTATCCTCTTCATGATGTAAGCAGTGCAAATATAGAAAAGCTTTTTATTTGGATTTCAAATTATAGGCTACACAGTTATGGAAATTAGCACAAGTCCTTCAACATGGGTATTTTTTTATAGAGGACAAAGCAGAAGCGAATATTTGTCTATAGATATTTGTTTATACTGTGATCCCAAATTACAGTGGATAAACTTAAACTCTTTGTTTTAGAATGACTACCAGCTTGTTAGTAATGTGTATCCCAGTTATCCTTTTCTTCTTTGAATTTGTTTTAAAAAGCTAATCTTTTGTAATCAATAAAAGACATCAGCTGTAGCAAAGCGACTTTAGCAAAACATTTTTAATTCAACTCCTGACATCTGAGATGGTTAAGTACTGCTTTGCTGCCTTAAGTCAGTGAAATAACTATGCCATGTTTTCTTAGGGAGCCATTGAGGAGGAGAGTGCAGAACCCAATGACAGAAAGGTAAAAATGTTACAATATCTTCATCATTAGATTACCGTAGGTTCTCAGAAGGGCATCAAATATCACGTGCTGCATAAAAACATGTCTATTGACCACTTAGCAGTGACAACCAAACATCATTTCTGCACAGCACAGTTAGAGTTAGAGAAGGCAGAGGAGTAACTAAGCATCTGACACAGAGCAAGAGAGAAGGAGACTTAGGCAGATCTGTAGAAAGAGAGAGTGAGAGGCTAATGCTCAGCCAGCTTCACCTAACAGGGCAGTATTATGTAACATTGACTTTTTTTAGCTTTACATCATGTTATGTTATTCCCTCACCAAAAACCTACATGGAATGTCGCCTTGATTCTTTCATGCATATTTGAGAAATCATTTAATCTCCGATGGCAAGCATACAGCTGGGCAAAGCGTCTGGGTGGCCCAAACGCCACTTCAAGAAGCAGCTCTTTCTGGGAGCTGCAGATTCCAGGCTTCTGAGCTTCGACTTCAAAGAGCAGCACTCTTATTTAGTCTAATTTGGCACAAAATTTTAGATAAACCAATTTACATAACAAGAAAGTATCTATCGGATGGATCAAAATAAAAAATGTGTCAACCACCTTTTCTCATAAAAACTAAAGTTTCTGAGTCTCCCACTGAATAAATGAGACTTATTTGCTCAGGAGTCTGGAGTGGTTATTTTTTCACA